AGAAGCCTTGGTAACCCTCTATTGCCCCACGTAGAATCCAATCAACAATGAAATTGAACAACACCGGCGATAGCGGGCATCGTTGTCTTACTCCTGACCTCAGATCGAAGGAATGAGACTGTTCGCCATAGGCACGGATACGGGCTTTGGTTTGGGTGTAATATGACCTCACTATACTGACCAATTTTGATTTACTACGCTAAACTATGCTACACTATACCATGTTCTGCTCGGATCTAGTACCAGTGCATTAGAGTGGTAACTTCGAAGATGGACTGCACGGATCCGCAAGTGTAGAATGCTATTCAGTTTCAATTCATACAACCCTTACTGTTGCAATTTCTTGAACCGGTTTTAGTTGTTTTTTGGGTCGAACAATGAGAAGAGGGAAGAAGTAAAAGGCCGAGCGGAGTACCAGGATGAAGATACAGAATAAAAGAAAAATAGATGTGCGTAGATATTAGGTAGGTACAAGACCAATACCTTGAAAGACACCTAGACATCTAACCCAGTATCTTTAACCCAAGAATTGGTTGGTAACGACATCCCCAGCCGGGAAGCTGAGGGTAACCTACATGTCGAATGTTTTTTACTAGTATACCACTGAATCCTGTCCCACGAGAAGTTGCCCCAAGGATTCACAGTCAAAAGAAAATTGCAACAGTGCGAGCGTTTGTTGAAAGTGCCAGAAGACTGGATTTTATTAGTGGAACGCGAGCTCTATTTAAATAGTTGAGCACAGCCTTGATTTGTCCGGAATGGAATCAACGGAGCACTCATCAAACGATTGAACTAAACAGATTTTATTCTGTTGGTTATTCTGGTTTCCACCAATCAAGTGTCTCACACGTTTGCCTCCTTTTCACAACAGATGCAAAACTCAAGAAAATCACATGACAAGAAGTAGCTTATGAATGTGTTCTGCAAAGCAAGTTTTAAACACAATCTATCCTAAACTCACCTTATCCAATATGTCACCTGGTGAAGCATCCAAAGCAGTTCCCAACAGGATAAAGTCTTCCAGCCCACGTGCAAGAGCCAGTAATCCATGCCCACCACTCAACAGGAGGACAAGAAACGGAAATTGTAATCTGGCGAAGAGAGTCAGAGAGAGAAACCGAAAGCTGCCCAAGTAGAGGTATGACTTCCAAAACACGAAAATCGAGTGCATTTAGCAGTCCACTATTGGGACTGAAAGGACCAATTACCTGAACCTGAGGCTTTAACTTTTCGCAGTTAAGTCAGCATTGTCGGACAGAGCACCCATAAAAAGAGAACTAATGACTGCAGTGGCAATTTCAGTAGCGTTCATACGGCTAATATTGCATTTTCGATTTTCCGTTACTACGGTTTCGATGCAGTAAAGGGAAAAAATTGGAAGGCTTGAAGCAGTAGGACGATGAAAATACAGAATCTAAATACACTTTAAACAGTGAATGTTTGGATTAGCCCATTCGGTTTGTCACAGGTACCAGGCACTGTTGATGATCTCGGATGCGGGTTTCACTCCCTGGGAGATCGTTAACTCCACACTAGTTAAATGCATTTAAATGCGATGGCGATGTTTGTGATGATTGATGACCGTGTAGCTCGGGGGTAAGGGTTGAGAGTCCCAAACTGAAGGTTCGCGGTTCGAGTCCTGACAGGAACACTAGAGATAAGCAATGCTGACGAAACAGCACTTTCACCTTTTGCCTACAAGTCCTCTTCTACTCCAAACACCTGGCCTTTATGGACATTTTGATCATCAGAACGCCATCAGAAAAACTGGAAAAAACGATCTACCGCAAAGCAACGCATACGAATCAAATTCTAAACTTCAAAAGTAATCATCCACACAGCCACAAAAGATTCCGTGTTAGACCCTGGTTGGGAAGAATCAAAACACACTGCAGCACCGATATACTCAAGAAGAAAGATATCTCCTCAGAGTATTGGCTCGCAACGGCTACACCCGCAACTTCATTAAAAGAACTCTAACCCAAAAAAAGAAAGAAACAACAGACGGAGGATCTTGAACAAGGACGACCCTGTCGTACATCAAGGACATTTCGGAAATGACGGCAAGACTGCTCAGATCATATGGACT